AATTTTCCTCTTTGATGTTATCGATTTGGAGTAAATCCATCAAGAGAAACCAGAGATGCCCCAGTTTGTCCAGAGGTATTGAATTTTTGCAAAAGGTGGACTTTGAATATAATTGCAATTTGGGTATTCAAGATATCTGACAGCAGTAAATACATCAGGAGGGTTTTGACGTTTAATGAATTGAGACATGGGTTTTAAAGCTACAATGCAACATGTTGATGCCCTGTGTTTTCACGGCATAGAAACTCCTTTTGAAAAGAGCCAGGAACAAGTGGATGTAGGAGATACTAGGAAGTTATGCTCCAAGGACGAGGAAATAGGCGTGACGCAATTTTGTGGGTACGCAGGTGTTTAGGAGAGGACAGGAGGAGGAGGGTAAGTGCTTAGAAGATTTACAGGTGCCTTCATAATTTTTAATTTATTTTAGATAGGAAGCCCGAAATAGGGTTGGTATTAGGCAGGGTCTGTTGGTCTTTGCTGTTTGTTATTTTTCTGAATGTGTCATTATTTAAATCATTTTTTTTGTTAGTGTTGTGATCATTATTATTGTTGTTATTATTGATACTGTTTTTCTTTTTTGTTTTCTTCTTATTATTATTACTTTTGTTGTTATCATTCTTATAACTATCATTATAATTATCATTGTTATTATTATTATTATTATTATTATTATTATTATTAATATTATTATTATTATCATTATTATTATTATTATTATTTTTATCATCATCATTAATCATCATCATCAATAATCATCATCATCATCAATAATCATCATCATCATAATCATCATCATCATAATCATCATCATCATCATCATCAATAATCATCATCATCATCATCATCATCAATAATCATCAATCATCATCATCAATCATCATCATCAATCATCATCATCAATCATCATCATCATCGTATTATCATTTCTATTATTATCATTGCATTATCATTTCTATTATTTTCATTGTATTATCATTTCTATTATTATCATTGTATTGTCATTTCTATTATTATAATTTTATTATCATTTCTATTATTATCATTGTATTATCATTTCTATTATTATCATTGTATTATCATTATTATTATTATTGTTGTTGTTATTATGATGATGATTGTTATTGTTATTTTGGTATCTCTAATAATAATTCAACTTCTACTATTACTATTATTATTATTATTATTATTATTATTATTAGTTGTAGTAGCAGTAGCAGTGGTTGTAGTACAACTTTTACTATTACTACACCTATTACTTGTGTAACGTCATCAACTACAACAAGTACTTTTACTACTGTTACTACTACTGCTACTACTACTACTACTAATTATTATTATTCATTTTATTACTATTGTTATTATTTTCATTATTTATTTTATTGCTGTTATTATTATTATTATTGATTATACTACAATTATGATAATTATAGTAATAATAATGATAACAATTGTCATCATTACCATCAATGTCATCATCATCATCTTCAGTCATCATCAATCATCATCATAAATGCTATTATTACTATTATCATTATTGCAGTTGTTATTTTTTGTAGTATTACTTAATATCATCACCATAGAAAGTGTTATTATTGTTACGAGTTTTAGTATCATTATTATTTTAATGTTTTTTTCTTTGGATTGGTATGAATATTTTATCATCATCATTATTATAACAATTACTGCTATTCTCATTGTTGCCAACAATATCATTATCTGCCATACCATTATTAACTCCATCTTTTCTCCCTTTGCAGATCTCGTCTAGGCTGCCAGGTGTGCCTAACTAAGGCCCTGAATGGCATCACGGTCGTTGTACCTGAAGGGACTACAGACGTACGGAATGTATAGGTCTCGAGGGCTAGTGTTGTCATAAATTGAAGCGCAAATTTTAATAGTATTTTCAATTTTTTTCCCCCCCGAGGATGTTTTTTTTGTAATTAGCGTTATTCCTATTCTGTTTGTAGTTGTCCAGATTACTTTTTATTGTTAGTGATTCATGTCTGTTTTTTATGTGTCAAGTGTAGAGTTTATATGATATAGTACAAGAGATTTCAGTCATAAAGACACTATTTTTGCTAAGCTGTGACTGAAACATTTTACACGTGGGTGCTCAGTTATATTTGTTAATTATTTGATAACATTCAGATGATCAAAAGAAACCCCCTTACAAATACTGTTATTCCTAATAGATATGCATTAACTGTTTCTGTAGTTATCGTATTTTTAAAAAAGTTATGAATTTCAATAAAGGTCCACAAAATAAAAGAATGATTTTATACCAGGTTTTACAATAGTATGATGAAGACGGCTGTAAAAGGAATTGTCCTTATAAATATATGTCTGCCCTTTTTTCATGTGCAATTGCCCTGTTTTTTTTATTCTTTTTTAATGCTTCATATGAAATTCATCCTTTGATACTTTTGTTATGGCTTTCTGTATTGCTTTCATGGGTAATTGCTCTTTTGAAATTTTAGTTTTTCTCTTTGAACTTCTTTTTTGTTTCATATTTTTGCACAAAAACATTTCTGAAAGTACTCTATACAAACATTGTTTAATAGACATTTCCCATTTGTTATTAGATGTCTCCTCTTTCCATTATTTAATTTTTTTTTCTCCAGGAAATGAATCTTGATTGTATAATTTTTTTTTTTTTTGTTAAAGGGTTGTTCAAATTTCACATAACCATGACAAATAATGTGAACTGGTGTGAAAACTCTTTTAAGAAAAAAAAAAAAAAAAAAAAAAAACAGAAAGGATAAAAGAGAATGATAAACTTTACAAAGGAAGTGATGTATTAATGTATTTTAATTAAATCTTTAATAGAATTCCGTGTGTTGAACATTTGTCTCAGTGAGATGTTTTGAACCTAAAATAAAAGTACAGATGTTGTGGAAAGAGCTTTCAGCAAATTTTTCTAACTGGTATTTGGAATGGTCCAGTGTATCAGTTAGTATTTACTCCATAAACAAATATTAATTTAAAATCAACTTTAGAGTGGTTTACATTTTTACTATATATATAAAAAAATCAAACAAGATCGCACTTCAGCAGGAAATGGGTCACTACAGAAAGAAAAAGTTCCTGCTACCTTTGATATCAAACCACAAGATCGCACTTCAGCAGGAAATGGGTCACTACAGAAAGAAAAAGTTCCTGCTTCCTTTGATATCAAACCACAAGATCGCACTTCAGCAGGAAATGGGTCACTACAGAAAGAAAAAGTTCCTGCTTCCTTTGATATCAAACCACCAAAAGTAGACTCTACCAGTGTTGAATGTACCTGTGTCACACCTCTTCAGCAAAGAATGCTACATACGAACACGAGTTGGAAAGTAAATTGATGAAGACCATGTACTTTATTAGCTAAATGAAGCCCATGTAATCAAAAGGGATAACATTAGTTTTTAGTGATTATTGAATCCGGTCCTCAACAAGTAGAGTTTATTATATGATACATGCTTTCTCTACCAAAGAGGGCTTACATTAGTATTTTATTCTTAGGCATTTAGATTTTACAAGCTTGTGGAAGTGAAAAGTAACACTTTTGTTGATATGGAAATATCTGAATCATGAAATTTTATTTAAGTATAATTTATATTTACAAGAGTAGTAATACCAAATTCAACATAAAGAAAAACATGTCAAAACATCAACCTTATGATATCTTTATAAAATTAAAAGGATCATCAGGTTAAGCAATACTTTGCATGTATGAAAAGCTACAGCTAAATGTAGTACTTTATTCATTAAATCAGATCAAATTCTTCAAGAAAGAATCCCCAGTAGAGATAATTTTATTGGCTTAATTATGCAAATGTTACGTTCCATATTTTGAAATACTAATATTTTGTGCATTGTTCTTATAATATAATTCATCTCTTATCCTTAGTATTGACATTTGCAAAGTCACATGTTTTCTTGTTCATCACAAGAGTTACAATTGCTCAAAATGTAATGATTTGATGAATGGAAATGAAACAATCAGGGTAGTTTGAACAAGTTAGTTTCACTCCATCTTGATAGAAATTCCAGTTGGCACCTACCGAGATAGGCCTCTTTGCCTTTATTCATTGCAAATATTAAATATTCTTTTTCTTTCATTTTTCTTGATTTTGTTTTCATTTATTTTTCTATCAGTGTTATTACAGAACCATTCTCAAAGAACATGCACTGAAAAACATTTGCAGGGTCAATAAAGGGGCAGAGCTAATGCTGTGAGATATCATATATTGATAGATACACAATCATTTGTATAATTTACTAGATACTGTTATATTTTCCAGAGGTATATATGATCACGAAGAGTGCCCAACCATTAACAACTGTCAGAGTACTCTTGGGGAAGTTGCTCATTTTTTGTTTCAGGGCTTGAAGAAAAACCTAATCTTTCCTAGACCTGATATAATGAAAGATCTATACATAAAACGACCATGTTAAATAGTACACTAAGACCTAAAGGCAGAACAAAACTGTACATTAATATTACTAGGAAAGAGAAAATAATCTGCATTCCATTTATGGAATTTTAAGTATAAGAATGAGAACTACAACAACCATAGGAATACACAACTGCTACTTGTATCTGGCTTAAGGTTCTTACTGGTCTACAGAAGCTATACTTATTCAAGGGGTAGTTTTAGAACACATACATGTCTCGTTTCAATATGCAGTGTTACAGCAGTGTTACCGGATCGAGTAGTTCCCAACGGCGGCTTTTGGGCACAGACAGACAATGAGAAAAGTCTTTGTTTACAGGGGTACATGGTAAGGTGTCAGAATGCCTAAGGGGGGCAAAGGAATAAAATGAAGTAAACTGTTCCACCAAAGTAAGCACTGAAATGAAAGATTTAAATTTTAAAGATTAAAATTTTGTCATCGTCACAAGTATAGAAAGCGTATATTCTTCCCAAGATCCCCTCCCCACTCCAGAATATAACAGCTAAAAATTAAAAGACAGGCTCAGCAGCTCTAAATCATTGGTTCCCTAACTTTTCCAGACTGACGCCCCCTTAGCTACCAGGTGGATTCCTAGTTTTTTAAGTAAAATTTAAATAGAATGCAAGATTAAACAGGCAGAAGTATTTCACAAATCATAAATCAAAAGGCATTATATGCAGCACCAAATACTTGCAATTATTTCAAGTTACTGGGAAGAGTATCGACGTCGAGTGTACGAAAATCCATAGGATCAAAGTATTGTACCGTTTGAACAAAACCAGCTGTCACGCGGAGCGTACCGCGGTATGATGTATTTACATGTGTAAGAAATAATGCGATTATATGGTAACTGAGATCTGAATGACACCTGAGGTCACTTCACATGCTAGAATTACCCTTATTGTCCTAAAAACTATTACTTTACTGCATTTCCATATGTTACTTGATCGACTTCCACATTAATACCATGCTATGTCATTGTTAAGGCTATTATCCTATGTGATGATGTTTACAATATAATGGTAAATTACAATACAATAATGATAATGACAATGGCGATCGCAACGGCAGTACAACGACAGTGATGATCATAATGAAAAAAGTACATTCATACTGCGTTTATTACATAGTTTAATTACATTGACTATTCTTGTTATATTGCGTTATCAGATATCGATAGAAATCTCTTGATATCTCTAATGGGTCTGAAGAGGCAAACTGGTTCTAGAAAGAAAATCATACGTATACTTATTTCGACTACGATACTTATAATAATGATGATGCTGATAGTGATAATCATAAAGATAATAATGAATGATTAGTAGTAGTACTACTGTCATTCCTATTATTATTGTCATTATCATTATTATCATATGTTATAAGCATCATCTATTTGGAAGACAAAAAGAAGTGCTGGTTTAATATTCATGGAGCTTTATTCGAAGGATCCCTTGATGCATATCAAAATGCACACAATTCAAATGTTTTACTAGGTCTGTGAACCTGTACTTCGACAGTAGTTGTTCATCTGTTTGCAATTTGATATATCTAAAAAGAGGAGTTATATTTATCATTCACTTAAAGTCTTGTTTCTCATTAAAAATAATCGTAAATGGTACCTTTTGCGAGTTTAAAGATAAGTAAGATAAATATATAATCACGTAAAGAAATTCACACGAGTATTAATCCCCATTTATCAATGCCATCGTTGTCAATTGTATTACATTTTACTGACTCTTGTGAGCCTGGAAATAAAGATTATACCTTTCAATATATTCTTATACCATTTTCACATACGTTTCACAATAAAATATCTTTTAAATACTCCTTACATGGCTAAATGAAGAGTTGAGTGTAGACTCGAAATTACTTGAAATTCGGCAGCAAAAAATTGTAGATAAGGACTTGCAGATAAAGCCCAAAATCTCACCAGTAACTATAGTAACATAGTCTTTACAGTTATTGGATGGGTATGCTTGATGCAGGGATATCAGCTTCTCAACATCAGGATATAACTCACAAAGAAGTAAAAGGCAAATTTTTTTTTATTAACTGTTCATAATGCCATCTTGTTCGCCCCCCCCCCCCTAAGATCTTTCCACCGCCCATTTTCAGAACCGAATGTCTGAAGGAATTCATTGATACTGAAAGATTCTAGCAAGACTCCTTGCAGTGATTAATGGTCAGTGAAGGATGTCCTGTCCTGTTGTGGGGTTTTCATCACGAAAATGAAATTGATTCTAAAACATAACACGTGTCTTTGTACTGAAAATACAAACTTGTCATCTGCCTTGATTTCGGCAGCGTGATACAAAGGCAGTAAATGATTTGTAATTTTCAATTTGATCCGGATCGCCATCTTAAATGAACTTCGAAAAAGCGAGATTATCCCCCCCCCCCCAGCATATTATTTGTACGCTCATGAAAATGAGGAACAAGAAAGGCTGACCCTTTCCTTACCAGCACAAAGAGGACAAACTGAACAGCAAATGAATGCAAACATTGGTAGGAAATCGATTTTTGGATAATTTTTCTTTAACAGAATTTACCGCGATGGCGGAACTGAGTACCGATGGCGTCATAAGCGAGAAAACCACTGGCTTGTATGTGTTAACTGTCCGTGCTACGAGATCTAGCAGTAAATCCCGGGCACTCTTGTTTCGCGTCCACAGGCCGACAGAGCAGTCACGGTCGGTCGAGAATGACTGTGTCGATGGTCTGCTCACGATGTCATCTTCGCTTACTCTTGCCTTGGCTTGTGATTCGGTAACTATGATTGCTCGTGCTGCCCCCCCCCTCATGTGGACGGGGATTTAGAGAAATTAGTAAGATTTCCCCCTTTCGTCTGCCCTTCGTGTGGTGAGTACCTTGAGCAAGGACACGGATGACGTGCGTTACTAGATAAAGGTCTGTCCTTGCTTTCGTATCTCAGTTACCTCAGAGAACAAGGACGAAAGACTCTAGTCCTGATAAAACTTCGCCTGCATATGCAATCATACTAAACTGCACTTCCTCCAAGTGGGGCTGGAGCTGATACATTCCTTTACTTCTGATCTTTGGAGGGTAGGAGCTACACGTCTTATTTTGCTGCTGGACATTTTCTTTTCTTTATTTCCCTCCCTCTTACATTTCATTATCACAAGACTTGCCCTATTCAAGAAAAAAAAAAGCTGTGGCCTAAGATCTCGTAAATTTTCAGCCATTCTAGATGAAAACTACTCCCGTAACAGTGGATAAGGATGCCAGAACATTCCACTGATCGCAGTTCGCCTTATTGCAAAGCGGTGATTATCCTCGACGGTAGGAGATATACTTGTAAATTTCAATGAGCTTAACTTTAAGCTTTTCCCAAGATTAATAGAGTACATTATTGTTACTCAAATCATATTTATTAATTGTATA